CTTTCAGCGACCCTTCACACGGACAGGACTGGACTACTTCGGCCCGCTGTCTGTCACTGTTGGGCGCAGACATGAGAAGCGGTACGGCGCTCTCTTCACTTGTCTCGCCACCCGAGCCGTTCACGTGGAGCTGGCGCACGACCTGTCCACAGACTCAACGCTAATGGCCATCCGGCGATTCATCAGCAGGCGAGGCTGTCCACTGGTGATCCACTCAGACAACGGAACCAACTTCAAAGGCGCCGCCAAAGAGCTCCGCCAGGCCATTCGTGAGCTGAATGAAGCCCGCATCCAGGACCAGCTTTCTCATGACGGCATTACATGGTCGTTCAACCCGCCGGCGGCACCCCACATGGGCGGAGCCTGGGAGCGGCTCGTTGGATCCATCAAGACCGCACTTCACGCCATCCTCAAAGAGCGCCATCCCAAGGAGGAGACCCTCCTGACCGCACTGGCAGAAGCAGAGGCACTCGTGAACAGTCGACCTCTCACACATGTCAGTCTGGATGCCGCCGACGACGAGGCCTTGACTCCGAACCACTTCCTGATCGGTTCCTCGTGTGCCATTCTTCAAGGAATCGCGCAGGCAGGAGATGTCTCGCTGCGGCGCCAATGGCGCGTTGCGCAAGCCCTTGCAGATCTGTTCTGGCGCCGTTGGGTTCGCGAGTACCTTCCAACTCTCGCTCGCCGCACAAAGTGGAACCGCCAAACGAAGCAGCTCGTCGTAAACGACATTGTCATTATCGCGGATGACAACGCACCACGGGGTTCCTGGCCCAAAGGTGTCATCTCAGCTGTCCATCCAGGCCGCGATGGTGTTGTCCGTGTTGTCGACGTCAAGACCGCATCAGGTAGCGTTTTTCGCCGACCCGCTGCGAAAATTTGTGTACTGGACGTGCGTTCGTAGAGCTGTCATGCCTCCCGCACTTCTGAGCTGCAGCTAGCTGCGCTGTTTTTTTTCTCTTTTTTTCTTGTTTTCCTTTTTCTTGTTTCGTGCGTCCATGGACCGTCCACCCTTATTTCTACTCGAATAACACGATGGTTGCTAGGTTTAATACAGTCTTCTTCGCTTTTCTTCTGTTCTTTTTTGCATGTTTATGTTAACTCTCCCACGGTTCGTAACCAGGGGGGAGAATGTTGCTGCATGACAGCACTGACTCACAGCACCCTTTTCGTTTGTGCTTTGCCCGATTGGGCACCCACTGTAAAGAGCACGATACAACACTTTTCCATACATGTCCGACTCACTTTCCACACTATTTTTCCTATAATCCCACAACTCCCGAGAACAGGGACAGATCAATAAAGAACACCTTCTAACCAACAAGAGAATTAGGAGCTTGTGTCTGTGACGAGGGTTGTGCCACGGGGCACTAGGATCTCACGAAAACAGTCTTTCTCAGCTCGCCCTCTCCCTGGAGTACAAATTCATATCCAACTTTCGCTATTTCCATGAAGTTTACTAATATGCCCTATAAGATCACCTCCAAATTTGTGGACTCCATTGTTAGTCCATTATACATAGTTTGGGGTCAAGTTTTAGGTGAATGTTAGAACACAGGCCGTGTAGCAGATCAGTGTATGCTGACCGGGGTTGTATGATAGCTATATCAAATGCACACTCCACGTGCAGGCATCAAACCAGGTGTGTTGGGAAAAGCAGCTGGCCTGCAATTAATCATAAGCTCTGACCCGGATAAAGAGAAAGAGAGATTGGCCAGTCTGCACTTAGTGTTTTCAACTCCAATGGTGTCTCAAGGTCCCACCTCACCCTACATCATCATAATGCAACCATGGGGGAATATCCTTAGCAGATATCAAGGAAATATTATAGACAGTGATCAAGTGGGGAATCTGGAGGGGGGGGGGGGGGAGGGTGACACTAGGAAGGGCAACTGGGGAAGGGAACAAAACAACCACAAAACCCATTCCGGACTAGGAAAATTAAGGTGAGGGCCACAGTCAATAATTATTTACAGACCAACACAACATAGGCAGCGCTGAATACACTGGCTAGCTTCAATGATAAACAGGGCAAAAAGCCCTATTACAGCATATGCTGCATTTCACTGCCTCACCTGGCAAACTCGCACGACACTACAACCCTCGCACCCCTCCACCCTTCTTCCGTGCACAATGGGATGATGTGCTCCGCTTTAACCCTTATCTGCCCATTAAAAGACTTTGTGATACAGGAAGGGGTACTGTACCGGTTTGTCTCAGAGGGCTGCGTTCGCGATCGCCATCCTCGTCACAGCTAGTACTGTTTTCACTGTCACTGTCATCGACGTCCTCTACGTCTTCATCAGACTCTGAACCTGATGAAAATTCAGAATCCGAACCAAATAAATTTTCATCAGTGTTAGGTACCTCCTCCTGTACGTTGTACAACCTTTTCCAAGCTGGCCTTCATGCACCCTCGTACTCACATTTTGTCTCCTTTTGTCACCTTATGTTCCGTTGGCCTGGATAGCTACTTGCGCGCCCATATTTGCCATAGCTACCCAGTCCCTTTATCTTGCCGCCCTCACTCGATCTCGCTCTCTCTTCCATAATGTAGTCGTTTCGTTTGTCTTGGTCTCCGTCTCTTCGTCTTTAATAATTGTCTTCCCAACTACCCGTTCCCGTTGTCCGTTGTGTCTGGGAAGTACTCGTCCTCTTCGTACTCAACATCAGGTTCGCGCTCATCTGATTCACTCTCGTCGTCGAGAGTGCCCTCCTCGACGTCCGATTCACTGAATGCAACGATCTTCACATTGTCGTCGTCGTACTGGTTGAGCAAGGAGAGCTTTGGCAACTTGTAATAAAATTTTGACAAACTTTGTAACTGGCAGCCTATTGCTTTCTATACGTCGTTGGAAAACTGCTGATCTCATGCGCTGTCTACCAAACCACTATCGCCATGCCTACAACGATGTTTGAATTCGCACTTGAAGTGCAGCGTTGAAATACGACAATTTTTGTACACGTTGGCGGATAAGGGATAAAAAAATCTTGGGATGCCAACGCATCACTTCCCAAATACCATGTTAAAAAAATTAAAAAAGAGGAAGTCCGATGAAAAGTGAAAAGTTCAGGGTCTATAGAGTTTGGGGCGCCGAGTCTAATGGTGCTGGTCCCACGTCTCTGCGACAAAGCATTCAAGAGATATTGTGATTTGAATATTGTAAGTTAGCAGGGATGCTAATAAAAAGATCTGGCAGTTTTCTTGGAGACAATGATGTAAATATCTGGCAGCTCACACTTTTGAAATCTGAGCGTTTCAACTGGTGCGGACGGCTCAATCCTTCTAGTTAGAATACCTAACTGCCTTGGTCGTGAGGTACAGGGTAAAGTCAAATTGGAGCCAGAGGCTTGACTTGTACTGTGCAGGGAGCGGATAAAAGCTCCACCAGCACACAGGTAATGGCTAGCTGCACCCTAATGGCTACACTTCCCGTTGCCGGCAGCACACCTGCACCTGTTTTCCAGCTGCTGAAAATGATCCATATCCATGGCGAGGAAGACCTTGTCCTGTTTGTGCTTGGTCTGGCTAGCCTAGCAAGACACGCTGACTACGGCACCTCCCTTTCCCAGAGTCACGGACACCTAACTTACGTACCCTTCCACCACACATTTTTGACCGTGCTTGAATGTCGCAATCATCAGGCAACATGAGGATGGGGTGCCGACCATGCCAGTATATATGCCAGGAGAGGGTGGGTCTTGCGGCGCTGTATGAAAAGCTGTGTGTGAATGTTGGGGCTGTATAGGCTGAGGGCTAGCGGTGTTATTTTAGGCAGGAGGCTGTGTGCAGTGTGTGTGGTTGTTGTATGCAGGCGGCTGTAGGCAGGCGGCTGTAGAGGCAGTGACAGGGCTAGCAGTGCAATGTTAGCGCAGAATGTGTGGCTAGTGTGGGCAGGATGTAGTGAGCAAGGTTTGTGGATGTTGTAGGCAGGAGGCTGTGGAGGTAATGACAGAGCTAGCAGTGTGATGTTAGCGCAGAGTACAAAAAAGCAACATGTATATGGCTGGTTTGGGCAGGGTGTTGTGAGCAAGGTGTGTGGTTGGTGTGGGCAGGAGGCTGCGGAGACACATTACTTCCTCCATCAAGCAAAACTTCATTGCATTTTTACAGTTCAGTCCAAAGCATTCTATGGCTACCAAAACGCTTTGCAAAGTGGCAAAGCAACATATGAGAGATAGATATTTACAGATGTCACACAGCTCGTTCGAAGCAGTCCAGCTTCATTCTTCATCTGAATTTGATGACGACTCACTCCTTGATAACATTGAGTCGGCATCCTTGCTGGCTTTTGCCTCCAGCGCTGCCAGCTTTTGTCCTGCAGCCTTTACAAGTTGCCCAGACACGATTTGATCGAGGAGATCGCCAAGTTCTTCGCTCGAACTGTAAGCTTGATGACCTCCACGGCTTCGCTGGTAATTGTTGTCTCTGCTGCTCAGACTCCCCAGAATGCCATGGAAAGAGCCATACAGACACAACCAAACGCTCCTCATCTTGGCAGCGGGGTACTCGTGCCAGCATGTTTCCACAGCCTGCAGAAGCTCCTTTCTGGTTTTCTTCACCACGACTGACACGTCTGTCTTCAGGCTGTGGAAGAACGCCAAGTCGTCAACGTTGAGATCAGGATTTGCCCCCCCCCCCCCCAGAGCTGCGAATGAGTCAAATTTTCAGTGCCGGCTAGGCGGCTTTGGAACATCGTCTATAGAGCAGCAGTGACTGTTTCAACATGGCACACCACTAATTTTGCAATCGGCACGGTTCTGTTTCTCCGTAAGGTTGGCAAGGAGGAGTCCACTGAATCCGTGCCTGGAAACATTGGGATGCCCCAGGGGGGAATGACTCATCCCAATTCTGTTCATCTGTTGCATACATGTAGATGAGGCATTGCCCAGGGATGATCGCTTCCCACTAATGCCAGACTATGATCACCGTATGTGGCTATCATGAAAATAAATCTCCCCTAATTCACCATCTACTTTGTGTTGGTATGTTTCAGTTGGGAACTGCTCTGCCAGAACAGTAGCCGGTGATGTTATGATTTCGCTGCCACAATGCAACCTTGATCTGGTAGAGTACTTCGACCTGACGGCGTATGAAGAGCAAACATTTGCAGGAGGCTCACCATATCTGACTAAACGTCTGTCACGGCAAGGAGAACACAACATCCCAAAGCAGCGATTACCCAATGGAAACTGTGTTTTTCGGTTGGTGCCAAGGATGAAAGAAACAGATACCGAAATTCTCTGCACAGATATGGAAATTCAGTACAATCCACGTGAGTTTACCTGCTATCGCGTACTACAATTGTATTCACTACTGATTCATTGGATTTACCTGGCTGTCTAAGCTGTAAAGATAATCCAAATTCACAGACAGAGACCAAACAAGAGGTCCATAATCTTACCTCTTGCACGACCCGTTTGAAGCACCATGTATTGTATGAGCCAGGGACTATAGAAGCTGCCCTACGACGTTTAATATCAAAATCAAGTTACGAGGTTTCAAAGTCACGTGATTCAAAGGTACTTCTCTTTTTTCCCTCTCATTTTTAAATTTAAACTCCAACGCAGCCACTTACACACTTAGGACACTTCACTTCTCAACTCCAAACTCCAGAAACGGTCTCTTCACTGCGATTTCAAATTAAAATTTACATGCCGCCAAATTACCGGGCCTGGCCTATCATCAGGATAATGCCCATCATCAGGATAATGTAAATTTTAATTTGAAATCGTAGTGAAGAGACCGTTTCTGGAGTTTGGAGTTGGGAACTGAAGCCTAGTTTTAATTAGGCGTAGTTGGTTACCACCTTCATCTCATTCTCACCATTGGCAGGCTTACCTCGAGCCGTGGGATGTTGTACTTCCTCCGTATACTAAAACTTCGTGACTTTTTCAACGGTGTTTTGAGCAAGAACCTGCTCAGCGAACCACGCCAAAGGCTGTCATCGACAACCTACATTCATGTTGAGGTAATTTTGGTTGATCCCGAACAGATTCTCCATGGAAGCCATGCGTGTGAGGATGTTGCCGACAGGAACTCACGAGTCAAATGGAAACAAAAAACTAACACCTACTTGCTCGAAATTGACATTGTGACAAAGTGGAGCTCGCGGCTGGAACACGGAGGCACGCGACACTCGCTGCCCTGAATTGAAGCTGGCCACGCTCGTACTTGCGGTGCGCGGCCCCATAGATCCACGCAGCGTGAGAACATAATAATTTCGGTTCCTCTCGCACGGCAAGATGAAACATTTCAGTCGTAGTGCAACCAGCGCAGACTCTGGATCGGAATGTCAACGACCTGGCTTTCTTCGCCTCTCTCCAGTCAGACGTCTCCTTAGTCGCCAAGGGGAATCGCAGGGACCTCCTCAAAGCAGTTGTAGAATGCTGGGAGGGTTATCCTGCCGAGAAAATGCAAAGCTTGTGGATGTGCTTGAGCGACTCGTTTCACGGCATAATGGAGGCCGCAGGTTGGAACGACTGCATATAGTTGGCAGCGATTCGTACAGAGCTCTGGAAATGAAGAAGAAGTAGCCAGAGTCCCGCGTCATATCATCACTGCAGCTGAAAAAAATCTGAACGAAATGCGAGGGAAGCAGTGACTGTTGGCAATGCGGGGTCAGCGTCGTCAGGTGACAATGACACGAGCGACAAAGATTCTGAATGAACTCAATCTCATTCGTCTCACTTGCTTTTTCTTTGTATACATCTTGGAAACAGGTTAGACAATGCCACGAGTGTTATTCCAAGTCAAACGGAACAATTCCAGAGCTGTGCGCAGCCTTCAAAGAATGTCACGAAGTTTTTGTATAAGGAGAAGTATAAACAAATGAATAAGCTCCATGAAGCGCAGGTTGTCAGTTTTTGTTTTGTTTTGACAAGAGCTGTCCTCTTGTCGATGACAATCTTCTATGAAAACAAAAGGCTGCCACGTGATTGTTGAGTACTTCTCAAGTGTCCGCTTATGTACATTGACTATGGCTACAGCAAAGCAGTTCGAATCTCGCTGGAGTTTCTGATGCGGCAGCGAAAGTGCTTTGATCAGGACGAGAACATTTTACGGATCAAGCGTCAGCACGTTTGAGTCGTCGATTTAGACTCCGAGGTGGACACCGATCGTGACACCACACCACCTCAGAAGAACACATACAGCACTGGAGTTACAGTAAGTAGTTCGAGTGCTGCTAGTGATGTCAAGCCCTGAAACCGGGGAAATTCAAACACTGATAGTGATGCCTCTGTCGACAGCTCACGTCAGGCGAAATTACTGGTCAGTCGGCGACACGCATTTTTCGCAAAAAATTGCGTTTCACCTGCTGGGAGAGTATGCGTGTACTCGAGTCTTATCCTGAGCAAGTTTTTTCTTCTTTTTTTCAGCTCCAGTATAGCTGAATTTTTCATTGCAAAGCCGTCCTCGATTGTTGTGTTCGTTGTTCAAACGAAGTGGACATTCAATCATGAAGGCAGAGGACATAGGAGCCTGATTGGAGTTTCTCGCGGCATAGGACGGCCACACAGAGACACTTTGGGATTTTCTGATTATAATACCGTACGCACGATGCTGAGATCAATTTGTGCGATATCAAATTGTTTGCGATCTACCACATCGAGCAGAACGGCTCAGGATAAGACTCGAGTACACGCACACGGTCGGCAGGACCTGACTAGACAAATGATCCCTGGCTTCACCAGACGCCAGAAGTCGGACACCATGTCCTTTGCCGCGACGTCCATCACCAAAAAGAACTCCATTTTCGTCGTGAAAAGGCTTGAAATACTCAATATTCAACCAAGATTCGCGGTCTCACCCTTTCTCAGATCGAATCATTTTTTGTTGTAGCAGTTGCAGGGCAGATCCCCGCCACTACTTCAACAGGGGATGGCTCCAAAGTATGCCTGGAACAAGCCATATCGAGGTTGCAAGCCACCCCTCTCAGCAAGAAATTCGAAATTTCAATGGTGGAAGATATACTATGGAGAGAATTTCAAAAAGTATGTTTCGCGGAGCGATCGCTCAACCTACGTCATTCAAACTTTGCAGGATGGTTCAGACGTACATGCTAGGCATGGAGCCACAGGAGATGATGCCATAGCTGACACACAGAGTCACACACACAGCAGATTCGTGTGCACAGATACAAAATTAGTGGACGTCGTCATCTTTTTCCCGCTGATCTCAAATGTACTGGGACGTGCTATTTCGCCTGACGAGAATCAGGTGACAATTCCGCTGTGCACGCACCTCAGCTACCAGCAACGGAGCAGGTAAAGCAGGGTCTCCTGGCAAACGTGATTGATTTCAGAGGGGCTGTGGCTGTAAATCGAAGAATCGTGGACATACAATGAACACGAAAAATGGTGCACATATCATTTGCTGCAAAATCACGTAGCATATTATGCTATCATAAAATAGGTAATTAGGCCCATTTTGGCAGGTCAGATGAACTTGAAATGTTGTGTGAGCACCCTTCCATACCGTATCAACATTTTGAGCGAAACATATTTTCACCAAAAAGTGCAGCAGGGTGGTTTCTCTAGGCCCTGGCTCAATATTATTATCAGCTTTTTCGCGTTGACATCACCAAGCAAGCTTCGCTAGTCTTCGCTTAAGCCAAATTGAATGAAGAATTGGGAGCGCGCAGGGTCAATGAGATGCATGCACATATGCATGTAACTCCAGAATAGGCAACACAGAAAATATCAAAACAGTCCTAAAACACGCATATAATATAATTGGGCCGCAATCAACGAAAACGACCCTTAGAGGTTTCGTAATTATTTTCTTCGAGAAAAGGTCGATTTGTGGCGTGCAACTATTTTTTGATCGCACTGTGAACAGCGCAACAAGTTCTTCTTGAACTTCTTGCTTGATGTACTGGTTGAAGTAGTGTCGAGTGTTGACTTAGGTGTTCCTTCGTCTTGTTGCGATGGCTGTGGATGCCAGAGCTGCTCGCAGAGCACGGGCGACGGTCATTCCGTACAGCTCGAACCTGGCAGGGAGTGGATGCTGAAGTAGCTCGCAGAAGTTCAGAGTGAGGATGCCAGTAAATTCCAACACTAAAATAGCTATGATGTCCAGAACTGTTTTAGTTGACAATAATATTATTATGATTGTGGCAAATTCCAAACTCACAGCCTGTGATCAAAGAGTCCATCACATACGAAGCACACCATCACGGGCACCCTGTCATTCTGATCTCGCGATAAGATGATGAATATCTCGAGGTGCACAAGCCATGTCGACAGGATGGTGTAATCACAAAAGTCATCACCCGCTGCGAAGCGGCTCAAGCTGGCCGATGACTGTTCAGAGTCGGAAGATGAAGAGTCTCCCTCTGAGATAACATCTGAGTCTGAGGCTAGTGATAGCAGCAATGTCGGGTCTTCCGCTAATAGTCCATCGGCCAAGTCTCAAAATCGAAAGTGGTGATGCACTGAGCTTCCAACTAAACGCGACCATACCCAGCACGTAGAGAATATATCAGAGAACACGATTCCGTTTGTTGGACGTGCCGAATTCAGTCCAGGGCGTCGATACGAAGCGTTCTTCGTCGCCGAGTTTTTTACTGTGCGCTCCATTTGAGAGTGCGCAGAGTTCTGATCGAGAGTTTTTTGAGCAGATTTTCAAATTTTTGAGGCTGTCAGCTGACAGCTGTCAACCCTAAATGGCACTTAGTATGTGACAGGCAATAGGTTTTGGTGCCACCGTATGCCTTCTAATAAGTTCTATCTTCCTTCGTTTCACTTCGCTGCTTCGCCCACTACCTCAGGAGATGACAGCGTACCTGCACTAGTCAGCTCTCGCTAACCCTGTCTCTCTTTCTCCGTCTTAGCGCTCGTCATTCGTGTCCTTCTGCTGGGGCGAGCTTGATACTGTTGTGTCGTAGTTTTTAGGCAATAGTGGCTGTTGTTCGCGTGACGATCAGGATTTATGGAGAAAGACGACGACTCGCCAAGTTCCCATGCAGCCACAGACGGCGTAGCAATTCTTACCGCCAACCCTTCGAGCAACGGAACCGGCCTGAGTTGGAAATCGTGTCTGTGTAATTGTGCCACGATACGGATGAAACACACAGGCTCACATGTGACGAGATGAAGATAATCTCAACAGGCTGACGGAAATCCAACAGGCTCACGGGAACGCTGCAGTTATGGTCGGAGACGCGGAGTTATTTAGTCACTGGTTCGAGTGCTGTGTGCTCTAACACAATTGTAAAAAATCATGAAAAAGCGAAAATAATGCAATGGTGGGGCTGAGTGGTGTTCTGTGGAG